TGTGTTCTATGGCACAAGCTTGTGTATCTGTTCTCTCTCTCTCTCTCTCTCTCTCTCTCTCTCTCTCTCTCTCCTTTTTTTCTTTCTCTTTGAGTCACAGTCTCACTAAGTCACCAAGTTGCCTGGGCTGGCTGACTCCACAGCCCTCCTGCCTCAGCCTTCCGGAGTGCTGAGCTTACTGGCATGTGCCCATACACAGCTGAAGCTTGCCCTCCTATATGGAGTTATAAATGCCTGGCATGGCTCCTCTGTGCCACCCTCTGCTGGTCCCAGCTGTGCAACCAGCAAAGCTATAGGGTCTGGGAGCAAGGGTGAGCCTTCAGCAATCCAAGCCAGACCTGTGGCATCTTTACAGCCATGGGCCACAAGCCATCTCCACAATGCAATGCAGGAAGTGACGTCGGCATGTGGGCTCCCCACCTAAGCTCAACTTCCATGGACTTTAAATCTCAGCTGGACCTGTCTTACATCCTGCAAAAAGTACAGGCCACATCCTGGACCAGGAAAATCACTAACTATTACAGCTTAGGAATGTTTTGGAGATGAAGATCTGCGAGACCTCAGGAGCAAAACTGTGAGAGGATCTTTAGTCTGCCATCCCCACTGCCAATGTGAGAGTTAAATGAGTTTTTAGAACAGTGCTTGGTACCAAACACTGAATCGTGGTCACTGTCGTGGTATCACCATGAGGACATTGTTTTTAATGTGGCAACATTTGGCCACCTGAGAAAACATCAGTCGGCACCTTGTAGGCAGTTCGAACTGTGTTGCCGAATGAACAAACCATTTAGCATGACCAAGTCCTTGCCACTGGCCTGTGCTCTTGATAAATACAGATACAAGACCTTTAATATTTTAATAGGAGGGCGGCTCGATAGCTCAGTGGACTAAAGCGCCTGCCCAGGCAAGCTTAGGCAAGCGCAGGGACCCCAGGTGGATCCCGGCCCCACATGCTGCACCGGCCCAGCCCCCAAGGCCGGCTGAGCTGACCAGAGTCTGGGCGTGGTGATGCACGCCTGTCATCCCAGTGCTGGGGACGCTGAAAACGGGAGGATCACTCTGAGTCTGAGCTGTGTAATGAGACCCTGTAACAACCAAATACATTAAAAAGAAAAAAACTCAATAGGAAAGTACCACATCATGATAAATGAATTAGAGTCCTGTTTTGGACTATGTCTAACAGTAAAAAGTATTTGAGAGCTAATTTTAGTGTGAAATAGGAAACAGTTAATGCTAAGCCTGGAACAGTAATGTAAATTGAGAAACAATACTCCGTAGTTTTAATTCCCCAGTGAAGTTAAGTGTAAATACTTTACAAATGTGAAAACATAAAATATTGAGTAATATTTAAATGTATTTGTGGTAGTGGTATAGGTGGTAACAAGTGATTTATAATCACACACTGGAACGCAGTTCCTTTTTCATAATTTCGTTATTAATTGCTGGCATATTATTTTACTTACACCAATAAAATATGTTTATTCTGTTACTCTTTTTTCTATCCAGCATAGAACCTGTTTCGCTTGTGTTGAGTTACAGTTCTTGGATAAATTTCCATCAACGGCATTTCTGAGTTCCGTCACATGCTCACCACCTTTGCCGGTGCTATTGATTACTGCAGCCTCCCCGAGGGGCTGTGTAAGTTGACAATGACACAGTCAATAAAAAAAGCATCAGGGCAATTTTTTAAAATTACAAAATATTGTCGGTCATTTGCTGCCTGTGTTCTGTTACAATTAAGCCTGCCGCCGGCCCCTAATAAGGCCCCACGCTTCCAGCATGTCCATTATGCAGGCGAGACTGATGCTGGAGGGGGAACAGCTGTTTAGAGGGCAGAGGCAGGAGGCCGCCGCGAGACTGGAGGCTAGGACCACTGGGTTTCTTTATGTTTGTGTGCTTCGGAGTTTTTCTCAAAATAAGTGATAACTGACTCACTCAGATGAGCATAAGATAAAGTGCGATGAATTACATAGTAAGAGAGATGTATATAAACCATTACAGAAATCTCAGTTATGGAATTCCTCCGCTGTGCCAGAGGTACACTATTGTAAAAGGGAAGAATGAATACGTTTAGTAGAAGTCCACAGTGCTCACAATAAATGTGTCTTCCACTTTTGCGATTCCTTTTCCGAAGATGGTCCCCAGTTGATCCCCGACTCCAGCCAACAAGAAACCAAAGAGAGGGATTCCCAGTAAGGCGTAGATGATGCAGAATATTTTTCCGCCTTCTGTCCGTGGTGAGATGTTTCCAAATCCTAGAAAGAGAAAAAAATTCACGTCTTTGTAAATGAGGAATCTAAGTATCTAACTTGCAGATTGACCCAAAAATTCCCACATATTATAACAATTGTTGATTTTAGCTAGTTAAGAATCACTTTATATTACATAATCTTTTGATGTATTTAACATGAAACACACTTCCAAGCAAATGTTTCAATACAACAATGTGCAGCGACTGTCCCAATTAAACTTGGATAAAGCAGCGACTCTGAGCTAGGACCACATGCAATAAAACCAACATGTTCATCCACCAGCTTCTCTCTCCCCAACATTGTCAAGGCCATTAGCTATTTCATCAATATTTAGAATGCACTGAGAACAAATAGATCGCTTTCATTTACCAGTATTCAAGCATGCTTAAATGATTGAAAAATATTAGAGCTGGGGAGCAAGTTTTTTAACTTTTTATTCAAGTGTTCTCCAAAGAGCAGTAACTGCAGACTTAAATTTCTTTTTTCCAGATCTGAACCTTCTGAAGCCTTTCCTGCTTTGTGCAAGGCCGCCAGCCTGTCAGCATCCAAGCACTGGAACTTGCTTGGCTTTACTGTCACAAGGACGCTGCCTCCACGCAAGAGTAGGCTTCTCCCCTTCAAGAAAGCCACAGAATTCTTCTGTGGTAGACAAACCTCTCTCTGTTCTTCAGCTTAACTAACCAAAAACTTTAATACTTTAATTCTGATTTTATTTTATTCAAACATATGGGTAGGTATTTTGAGATTGGCTTTTGGATATTGTTTCCTTTTTTTTTTGGACTAGTATAATCAAAGATTATGGCTTGCAGGATTTTTTACTTTTGGAATCTAGTGATTTTTTTTTGTGGACTTACATTCTATAACTGTTTCATCATTATTTGAACAAAATATGGATGCTTTATTTGTTAGGATTCAGGAAAAGCCTATTTATATTTGGCCATCTTTAACTCACACCTTTTCCTCTGTAACACTTGTACCCTTCCTGTCCTCCTACTCAGTCAGTCTGATCTACTGGAAGTCAGTTCACCTGCTGAGGGAATATGTCTAATGCACCTGTCAGGAATGCTCTTTTTTTTTTTTCCATGATCCTGTCCTATGTCACAATAACAGCCGTTACACACTTGTCCTCATTATTCGGGGCTGCGTCCTGCACTTCCTCTAAGCAGGTGACTTTTTTCAGCAGCTGGGCACTCCTGGAGTGGAAGCACGGCACACTGCTGGCTTGGCTGGCATCTGCAGATGAGGGATACTTTTCAGCCTCATTGTGCTCGGAGCTGATCTGCACTATCTGGCAAAATACAGTGCGAGGTGCTGGAGCAGCTGCGTGGCTCTGTAGGACTCTAGGGTAGGTGCACTCTCTGTGTATCACGTGGGAGCAGGTTCTCCCAGTTCTGGATGACCGCCACCAGTTCCCAGCTGCCCGATGCTTCTGTGGTCCAGCACCTGCTCTGTGGAGGTCTGTCCCCAGATCTCTGCCCAAAGCTTCTCTTCATGGCTGCACTCCAGGGGCAAGCCCTGCAGTTACAACTAGAAGTTTCACAGAACTTTATTTTACAGGCCAATTCTCCATGGCCCACTTCTGCTTCTAATTTTGGTAACTTTATGAAATTCCCTTTAAAAAATGTTCATTTTGCAATCCTCTGTTTTGCTTCTATATGAGCTCTTTAATTCCAAGAGATTTCAGAGTCAATCTGAATCTACCAGCATCACACCATGCTGTAAATCCTTTCCTACCATAGTACCTTCAAAACCCCTTCCCTGCCTTGAGACAATGGAATTTTTTATACTATTATTTTATGCACTCTGTCACCTCAGTGTCACATTTTGCCAGTGCAAGATAAGGACATGTGCTATGGCTTATATCTAGGGATTTGCATCAAAGCCTCATGATACCACCAGTGGGGCTTTTGGGAAAGGACAGGATCTAGGGTACGTGACGCAGGGATTAATCATGCTCCATCCTGGCTGAAGGTAGCACCAATCAACAGGTTTGGGCTAAAGGAGTTCACTCTGTGAGTTTGCCAAATGTTCAGTATTAATTATCTCATTAAAAAGCCACACAAGACATGCAAACCATGGTTCTTAAAAGCATTTTACTTTAACGTCTAAGATTAAACAATAGAAATATCAGTCAGGGTAAAACCATAGTATGAATTGGCAATGTATTATTTCTGGCTCCATCACTCAGTTACGTGACCTTGAGGAAATGACCACCCATTTCTCACAAAGGCAATGCTGTTGCTGTTGAGCCCCTCCTTGAGTTGTCACTCATTAAGGTCCTACGTGAACAGTGCTTAGGAAAGTTCATTGCACTGTATGTGTCCAGTAAATACCAGGAACCACAATGATTACGATCAATACTATTAGTAATATCAGGTAAAAGCAAAGATTAGTGTCAAAGCAGTTGGCTCTAGCAGTACACAAACTGTTTAACAGGTAGGCTAATGGCTTGTAGTTACACGGTGTTCTCTACCATACTGTCCACTTGGAGGCGCCATTCTTGACAAAGAACAGTGACCAAAGAGCACGAAAAGCATAAGGCAACTCTTCACATATAAGGGTTGACAGGGCTGGGGGTGTTTATTCTGAAGAAAAGAAGCCAGAGCAGAAGGGCATAGACCAGTTGATTCCAACCATTTGGCTGATTGAAATGTGAAAAGGAATCAGACCCACTCGAGATTCTTCAAGACAAAGGACAAAATTAAAGTGCGAGAGCTACACAGTGAATCCCTGTTTAGGAAACTCCAGCCACAACAGACGTCTTGGCTGCAAAAGGTGAACAGGAGCCAGATAATCACTTGCTGTGATTAACACCTTGGTCTGACGGACCAGCATATGCGTGCACAGAACAGTAAGGACCAAGTTTCCTAACATCTGCTTTGTCCATGTATTGTAGCTACTCATCATGGGCTAGGGATATAAGTGAGCGGCACAATGCCTTCCTCCTTCCTGGTAAGTGCAAGGCTGTGAGTTTGATTTCCGGTGCCCTGCACCCCCCAAAAAGATATATAACTATTCATTCATGTATTCAAAAATTCAAAATTCGGTTTGAATACCTATTTGACAGGCACTATCCTAAAACCTAAGGATGCGAGTGTGAAGTAGGCAGACCTCACCTGTCAGAAAGAACAAAGATCAGCAACTAATACAGACAAACACACGCTTGATACAGAAAAGCGCAGGATGCCCTCAGTGTCTATGTATTTAGGAGAATGAGAGGATCTGCACACAGGATCTGGTCGCCCAAAGCTGTGATCAGAAACTAAGTGGAGTTGCGAAGGTGCAGAGAGAAGGTGGGCTCAGGACCAGGCTGAGGAGCCACAGGAGCAAATTCTTAGAAAAAAACAAAAAATCTGGTATTTAGAGAAATGAAACATTTCCATAAGTGCACAAGGATGTATTAGTCTTTTCCTGGTCACTGGGACCCAACAACGAGCACCTGCATCTTAAAGGACGAAAGGTGTATTTAGAACGCTGGATTTTAGAGCACTAGGCCCCTCGCTTCTAGCTCCAAGGCAAGAAGGGCTTGCTAGAAGGCTCTGGTGGAGGAGAGCTAAAGATGAGGGCTGCACATCTGACAGCAACCACCACGTAGCAGAAAACGGAGGCCCTGGGGAGGGAGGTGTCCCCAGCCCCACCCCCACTGCCCCGCAGCTGCTGGCCAGAGCCCACCTCCTAGCAGCAAGGCAGGTGGCGATGGCGCCCCCATGGTGCAATCCCGTTCCAGCCCCAAAGCCCCAGCCCTGAACACACGAGGCCAGGCAGCCAGGGCACATTAGATCTCAACCCTACAGAGAATGTACAAGGCAGAGGGAGGAAGGAAGCCTAGGCTCTGTGAGGAAGAATTACATGTATGCTAAGGGGTTTGGCTTCATCGTATGAGCCGAAGAGCTACTGCAAGACTAGCTGGGTGGAAGGCGCCCTGATTTGACCTCTTGAGAGTCTGTTTTGGCTGGGAAAAGGAGCGTGTGGCTAAAGA